ATTCCGTGGGGGAAGGGGGGGTGTACTCACAGTCGTGCATGCCGTAGTCGTTAGACCATTGACCTCGCATCCCTACAAAGCCGGGACGGAGCACGTCGGGTTCTCACCGGACCAGGCTCTCACATCACCAAGCGCGAAGCGCCGTGAGGTGTTCGGCGAGTCGCATGAAGGGTGCGCTGCATCCTGCTAAGGGTGTTCGGCATCTTGTGCTTACTTCCTTGCGTACGAATGACAGCTGCGGATGACTTCATCTATTCTCTGGTGCTTTCACTGCCAGAGACAGTTATAAGCACTGGGTAACTGCCGCGAGAGTGCTTGACCAAATAAACACAACGTGGTGCGATCAACCCCCTTGCGCAGAGTGAGGCTTCTCCACCCCGCACAACATGATCTACTCGACCACCATTTATGGGGCACTGAGACTGACGTTATTTCATTATTTAGCAAGTTGGCCCAGTCCATGCTAGCACTAAACACACGAACACACACAAGGATTCCTCTATTTCTACCGTTTCTGTCTTTTATCCGGAGAGTAGCTTAGCCTTCCCCCATGACACCCCCTCACGGGGTCCCAGTTCATGACATTTTGAAGGGTTGTGTGTTTTCAACCCCACCGGGACTGACGGCTTTTCATTGGTCTGCCGGATAGCGCGGTCGATGCAAAAGATAGAAGACAAATACACACATACACGGTTAAGCGCGGTCGATGCTACTAAGAAATGCCCCCTCGCCCAGAGCCTGGTCCGGCGAGAACCCGGCGTGCTCCGTCCCGGCTTTGTAGGGATGCGACGTCAACGATCTAATGACTACGGCATGCTCGACTATGAGTACATCCTCCGTCCCCCTGGCGCGCATCACACTTACCCAGGCCGGTTGCCTAGAGAGCGGGCGACGAGATATCGGGAGACGGCCATGCAGAGGGACAAAAACCCCGGGCAGCCGAAGACAATCCAGGCGAACCATCTCTCCGGACTGTCCACGATACGCCTGCTCAAAGACTGGAAACCCGAAGCGAAAGTTAAAAAAAAATGATATCCGATCCTCTAACGCATGTATGTGTAGATTTTACAGTAAGTTAGAGTATCGGACACGATCGAACTAAAAATTTGAGGCCGATCCTCTTAACCAAAAAAAAAGTTGTGGGGCACGTTTGCATGTGTATGTGTGAAGCCACCAATCCGGGCGGGTCCGCGCCTGCTCAAAGACTGGAAACCCGAAGCGAAAGTTAACAAAAACAATTAAGATGTAGTGCACGTTTGCATGTGTATGTGTGAAGGCATCAATCCGGGCGGAATACGCCTGCTCAAAGACTGGAAACCCGAAGCGAAAGTTAGCAACAACAACTAAGATGTAGTGCACGTTTGCATGTGTATGTGTGAAGCCACCAATCCGGGCGGAATACGCCTGCTCAAAGACTGGAAACCCGAAGCGAAAGTTAGCAACAACAACTAAGATGTAGTGCACGTTTGCATGTGTATGTGTGAAGCCACCAATCCGGGCGGAATACGCCTGCTCAAAGACTGGAAACCCGAAGCGAAAGTTAGCAACAACAACTAAGATGCAGTGCACGTTTGCATTTGTATGTGTGAAGCCACCAATCCGGGCGGTCCACGCCTGCTCAATGATAGGAAAACCCGTCGCAAAAAAAAAAGGTGCAAGATACTTGTGAGTTCTAATCCGTTAGTGGTTCCGCCAGAAGGTAGGTCGCCTTGTAGAATACCGGTGACACAGGCGGGATGTGCAAGGTGTTCCAAACTCTGAATAGATATATTGCCGGTTGCTCGCGGCAACGTCGGGTCAACGGGGCTGACACCCACCGGAATCATGGTAGGATTGGCCACTAAAACTGCTGTGGTGCACATGTCGACGCGTTATGTGCAGGGAAATGGACAAAAGTGGGTATCCCCCGCCATTCTCGGACAAAAGCGGGTAAAATCCATAATGACACCTGGGCAACGTAGCCAAGGACCATACCCAGCACGGGCATCGATTTTTTTCCACTTTCAGGCACACTTTTGACCCTAACACCGCCGCGGCGCGCAAGGCCTCACCAGAGGGCCCACTTCTGTCCGACGTCGTGGTGGGCATACCCAGCGGCGTCTACTATTCTTTCCATGCGGCCACTCGTGTCTTTTTTGTTACCCGTTCTAGTTTCATGTGCTCACTCATGTCTTGTTTTTTACCCGTTCTTGTCCAAATTGTACCCACTTGTGTCCACTTCCGGACAGCGGAAACCGAGCGGAAATCGACCTCCACGCCACCGCACGGCAGAACATCGAATACCCTCGGAACGTCTCAGAACCTCCCAACACCGATCCATGTATCCATGTATCCATGTCTGCCGACTGCGGACCGACGGCGGAGGGACATGTCAGAAACATGCCAGACCCGTTCGGTACCGGCAAATTCCCGGCACGGGAAGATACCCGCGGTAAGCCCGGCAAGCAGCGCACTAACGGCACGCCACAAACAAATGCGTGACACACAACGGACAACGAAACCAACGGGTCGCGCATACAGCAACACAGCACACACGCGCCACACACACACATACAAAAAGGTCGGATCACAGGAAACGTCAAGGAAGAGGGAGTAGGTCCGCTTGGAGGAAGTGAAGGGCAAGGGAGATTTGTCGCGGCTGACAACCCAAGGACTGTCGGCAGATGAGCGAATGTTGCCTGACTTTTATCGGGAGGCAATCGGTCGCTTGCTGTGGAGCCACGATCGAACTGAATGTGACGCAGGCAAGAAACGGCTGCCAGACACCAATCCCTGGTCTGCACGAGGACCGGTGCCTCAACCTTCCTGCAAAACAGGATGCTTGGTGTGATGTTGAAGACACACGCCAGTCGCTGTGTAAGACTCTTCCCCTTTTACCACAGGCACTGGTATGGGAAAGGGGCTATGCAAGATGGATTTGGTAATCCCCCAGATTACACGCAGGAGAACTCTGCACCAAGTCCGTTCTTGTAGATGCAACAATCGTCAACCCATCCGCAGGTCGGAGCATCGACAAGTCGATCCAAAAGCCAGGATCCGCCCTCGAAGATCGAGCTGCAAGTAAGGCAAATCACTAGAATGCGGAATCTTTCAACCCGTCTAGACCTACCCTCGTTTCTACTGATTTTTCAAGGTACGGTGGTCTTAGGAAAGGCACATATCGGCTTATCGTAGCCATCGCCAACTACTTGGCATGTGAAGCCTTCTGCAAGGATGATTTCGACGACGAAACAACCTTGCTTCGCCTAAAGGTTTTTCATACCAATAGGATTCGGAGACGGTTTACCTTCGAACTGGCTCGTTTCCTATCCATACGAACTAGTGATGTTTCAAAACGTCATGGACTACTGATGGATCGAATCCCACCCCAACCGACAGGTTGGGATCTCGGTAGTAGTGCAGAAAAAAACGACCAGGATGGCAATGAGGGGAATTCGTTTGGCAGTGATGAAGGAGAAAGAGAGGGAACGGGAGGAGGACAAGACGAGACCGAAGCAGCAGTCGAGGAGGGAACCATGGCGCGGAAGTGAGCAACAGTTTCCAGCCGGATGAACTTCCCCACAACGAAAGACGCAGGGCCAGGGAAGAACTGCCAAATAATTTTTGTCAGCATGATGATGAGAATGATGGTAGTAGCGAAAGCAAGGAGAATGGTGGTCAAAGCACTCCAAAACGAACTGGAGTGCAAGGTAACGGTGTTCTGTTGCTACCGTTTCTGTCTCTGATCCGGAGAGAAAAGATTAATCGCCCCCATGCCGCCCCCTCACGGGGTCCCAGTTGATGGCATTTACAAGTGCTTTGTGTTTTCAACCGCACTACCACTGACGTCTTTTCATTGGTCAGCCGGTTAGCGCGGTCGATGCTAATAATAAAGACACACACCCAAGATGAGTACACCGAGACTCGTGAGGGCAGAGCATGTCGAGGTAGTTTGCTCTGCAGGGCGCCCGCGCAGGGCCAAGCGCGGGCGCACCTCCGTCAAACTGCTTGTGCCATGGCTCGAGGTGCAACTTAAACTTCGTCCCTGGACTTCAAAAGGGCGTTCGAAAGGTGCATGATCGCCACTTCTAGGCAGGGTCAGTGGCGGTCGGGGCAAGCTCTACCGCTGCACCGGAGCCATCATGACGGGGAGGACGACAAATCTCCCTTGCCCTTCACTTCCTCCAAGCGGACCTACTCCCTCTTCCTTGACGTTTCCTGTGATCCGACCTTTTTGTATGTGTGTGTGTGTGGCGCGTGTGTGCTGTGTTGCTGTATGCGCGACCCGTTGGTTTCGTTGTCCGTTGTGTGTCACGCATTTGTTTGTGGCGTGCCGTTAGTGCGCTGCTTGCCGGGCTTACCGCGGGTATCTTCCCGTGCCGGGAATTTGCCGGTACCGAACGGGTCTGACATGTTTCTGACATGTCCCTCCGCCGTCGGTCCGCAGTCGGCAGACATGGATACATGGATACATGGATACGGTGTTGGGAGGTTCTGAGACGTTCCGAGGGTATTCGATGTTCTGCCGTGCGGTGACGTGGAGGTCGATTTCCGCTCGGTTTCCGCTGTCCGGAAGTGGACACAAGTGGGTACAGTTTGGACAAGAACGGGTAAAAAACAAGACACGAGGGACCACATGAAGAAAACAGTAGACGCCGCTAGGTATACCCACCACGACGTGGGACACAAGTGGGCACCCTGGTGAGCCCTTGCGCACCCCGGCGGCAATAGGGCCAAAGGTCCTCAAAGTGGGAAAAAATCGATGCCCGCGCTGCGTACGGTCCCTGGCTACGTTGCCCAGGTGTTAGAATGGGATTTTGAGGCGTTTGGGGTCGCCCTTGGAGTGCGCGCGAGCTGGATTTTCGAGTACCAACTTTGTCCCAGAATAGCGTGGGCATACCCCCCTTTTGTCCACTTCCCTGTCGTGTATACATGTGTTCGTCCCAGTCAACGCGCCTCTTGGGTGTAAGCTAGAGGCGGAGAAAAGCACCCCTCCCCCTGATTGCAGCGCACCCTTCATGCGACTCGCCGTTTATCCCACAACCAAGACGGCGTCAACACCAAAGCTCGCGATTTTGGAAACATCTCGTCGAGGGCTTTCCAACCACGTATCGGGCTCTTTCCGCACCCACCTCCATGGTTGCGAGACGATCGAGCTTTGAAAGTCGCTCTAGGGGGTGGTGCCGTCTCTCCACCTCTTGCGGTACATCGAGGTCCAGGGGGTGTGCTATCTTACGTCACCTCGTTGGTTGCGGGGGCAATCGAGCTTTGAAAGTCGCTCTAGGGGGTGGTGCCTTCTCTCCACCCCTTGCGGTACATCGAGGTCCAGGGGGTGTGTTATCTTACGTCACCTCGTTGGTTGCGGGGGCAATCGAGCTTTGAAAGTCGCTCTAGGGGGTGGTGCCTTCTCTCCACCCCTTGCGGTACATCGAGGTCCAGGGGGTGTGCTATCTTACGTCACCTCGTTGGTTGCGGGGGCAATCGAGCTTTGAAAGTCGCTCTAGGGGGTGGTGCCTTCTCTCCACCCCTTGCGGTACATCGAGGTCCAGGGGGTGTGCTATCTTACGTCACCTCGTTGGTTGCGGGGCAATCGAGCTTTGAAAGTCGCTCTAGGGGGTGGTGCCGTCTCTCCACCTCTTGCGGTACATCGAGGTCCAGGGGGTGTGCTATCTTACGTCACCTCGTTGGTTGCGGGGGCAATCGAGCTTTGAAAGTCGCTCTAGGGGTGGCGCGGTCTCTCCGCTTCTCAAGGTGCGTATCACCTCTCATGATGAACGTTTGACGTACTGTAGGTATCGGCCGTGGTGAGTCGTGTAGCACAGGGGCTTCCGTACATTATAAAAGGGCACGAACGAAATAGACTTATGCATAGGTGGACACACATGTAGGACCCCGGCTGGGTACTTCCGGATGAATTGTTCCAAAAAGCCACGACCGACGTGAAGAACTAATTGGGACGACAAAAAAAATACAAAGCAGAGCGGTGGAGACACATGCGTTATGGGTTTGGCTTACTTTGGGTACCAGCCGGGGATCAGTCACAGGATAAAACAGCTGTCCTTGGGGTCTTCTTCAACGTCTTTGCGGACTGCCTTCCTCATGTATGACCCCGGCTGAGTGCTTCCAGAATTTTTCCGAAAAGGTGCAAGGATCGACATTCAGATTCAAATGGGACGACAAAAAAAAAAAAAAAACACTTGTGTTGGAGACATACACACACATACCTGGTAGAGTATTTCGACGGCGCTGAAAGCAAACACCATCAAGTAGCACCCCGATGCAATCAGCAGCCGCCGCCTCTCCCTTCGAGAGGGCTGTCCGTGTAAGATAGTTACGCCGCAAAAAAAAAGAAGTCATCACAGTCACCGCCGCAAAAAAAGCGAAACAGCGGTCCAGGGGGCAGTCACGGCAGGAAATGGAAAGTGGTGAGGATCGTGGCAAACGGTAAGGTGACGCCAGAAAAACAAAAAAGGCGGCAACGAACGGCGAGAGACTTTAATGCGATCGGCAGCCGTCGCCTCTCCCTTCGAGCGGGCTGTCCGTCATCATTGCGTTCCCCCCCAACAGAAGGTTACACCGGACTTTGTCATGTGCGAGCCTGGTCCGGTAAGGACCCGGAGTGCTCCGTCCCGGCTTTGTCGGGATGCGAGGTCAATGGTCTAACGATGGCAAGCACGACTATGAATGAGTACACCCGCCCCCCCCAAAAAAAAGGTTAGCGCATCCACCGCCGCAAAAAAAGGATGACAGCTGTACAGGGGGCAATCTCGACCGGAGATATTTAAGGTATGGTGAGGATTAATGCGCATACGAAGATTGGCGACAACTCATGTACTGTGAAGGACGCAGGTTTCCAGGTGAACCGCATGTTTGATGCAATCACTCACGATCCTCTTGCATGCTCAACGAAATGATCACCTTTGACGAACTCACTTACTATTCTCCTCAACGAAATGATTATGCCAAAGAGTTACAAGCCGGCGCTCACGTATTGTACATGGAGAGGGCCCAGCACAAGTATCACATCATCACACTCAGAGTCGCTCCGTTCGACCGAAGGGGTGGACCTCGCAACTTCCAAGTACAACACTACACGATGGCAGCAATGTGCCGAGTCAATCAATGCCCGTAAGAGGCGGAGAGACGTCGTTGCCAACCGATCGATTTCTCCACAACCAAGGGCGTCCGCGGAAAGCGTCAGAAAATTCGACGGAACGCCCTCGACGAGGCTTCAGTTTTTTTTTTTACAAAGATGTACCCCCCCTATATGGGGGGCAGTTGGCTTGTGACCACGAAAGGCGTCCGCGTCAGTTGGACCGGTACGGACATTAGAAATACTGAGCGGAGACCGGATCGGTTCTTAATGTGAAGAAAGCACCAACAACAAGCTATCTTTACAGTCGTAGGCACTACAAGGTGAGCGTACATAAGGAGGGTGCTCGCAATAGGGCGGGTGCAATTGGCTGGCACAGATGGCGTATTCAAGACGGGACGGTAACACAATGAATGGTGCGCGTGCCCTCGGTCTAGCGCATACCCGCGTTATAGAGGGCCTACAACTGCACTGGGAAACAGACGCCACGACAGAGGCAGCGCGCGCCCATAAAACATTGTCAGCAGCAGCAGTGTACAATACTGGCTTGGACAGACACAAACAAGCTCGGCTTCCAGCCGTGCTCCCTCCACTCACTGAAAGAATTGGGCACATCCCTTTCGACTGAGCATGGTTGTATCTCGAATGGGTAGTTGTCTGTGATTTCGTCTGTGTTGTCTAGAAATCAGACCAAATGCCCTCCTTTGTAGGATCGAATAAGCCGTACTTTTTCCCTTGCTCCTGGAACGAAATCCATGGCCATGCCAACCCCGCCACACTTCATATTCACCGCCACATGCCGTATATGTACAACACAAGATAACATACCCCCTGGACCAAGTTTCAAAGCTCGATTACTCCACGACGAAGAGGATATAGTAACGAAACGATACATTTTTGGAAAAAAATACCGTATATGACACAAGATATCACACCCCCTGGACCAAGTTTCAAAGCTCGATCACTCCACGACGAAGAAGATGCATAAATGACACAATACATTGGCCGAGAGCTCTCGACGAGACACCTTCAACGCCACCGTTTTCGGCGCTGCGACTCTTTCTGCCGTTGGTAGATCGACATTTTGAAAATCGGTCCAGGGGGAGTGTTATCTTGTGTCGTATACGGTATGGGACAGCAGTAGATCGTGTCCATGGAGGTGAGGTGGGCGTCTGTTGTCTAGCCCCTCGGGCGGCCACAGCGTGCAGCACAGCAGCAGTGTGTGCCTTCAACAACGTCGGTTGATTAACGCCGGTGGCCCTGCGAAGTTGCGGGGCACAGTCTGAACAACCAAGTGATTATCATCGCTGAATAGCGCTCGTCGCTTCGAATACAGATAGCGCCCGCACTTCGGAACTTAGCAGTAAAGAAATTGAGACTAGCAAAAAACCAGAAGCTAAGAACTTGAGCACCATTTGTGAGCTCGGCTACGAACCCCACAACAAAACCTTCATAGCGGCCATTTCTAGCCCACAAGAGGATGATCAGGAAAATGAGAACCCCAGCTTCGGCCGAAACTAGAGGTTCTTAGGTGCGGGCGCCACCTGTAGCGCAGGTCGATTCGCTGGGCGCATAACCTTCCTTGTTTGGAGTCTTCGCACACTGAATGTTTAAACCCATCTCTTCGTTTTTGTATTTCAGCGCGTTCACCTCGCGTGCCATGCATGTGCCATACAACAGAAGTTCATAACTGCTGTATTTATATCTTCTTCCTGTTTTCCTTCCGATTTCCGAGCAGTGTACAGCGGTGATGTATCTACCCTGCGGTTAATAGGCTCAACAATGAACAGCAGCTTGGTGGACATCGGCTGGCTCCGCGAAGCCAGTGTTTTCGAATCACAGCAAGATATTTACCGCCGTTGGCCCGCCACACGTAATCGCAGTACTACAGCAGTGTTTTCGCCGATTTTTAAAATTGTGGACAACAGCAGTAGTCCCCATCAAACAAGCCCACACTCACCTAGCACCTACCAGGAACAAGCTCGCAACAAACACGTCGGTTGAGCATGGCGTTGTCACCGCAGCGGCACCCCTACCTAGCGCAGCCGCTGGAGATGGACCGCTCAGAGGAGGCAACACAGCAAGCCCGTCTCACCTCCACTCTAGCCGCATCCAGCAGCGTCCGCCGGCTGTGATCCACATCTGAAGGCATATGGAAGAGAGCGCTTCGCCTCGTCTCACAAGCACTGGCCTCTCCCTCCCTTTTATTGTCCACAACAAAACGCCCCCCCCCCGCTCTTCGGATGGTAGCTGTGCTTGCGCGGTGGGAGCAGGTGCGCCGGGCACCGAAAGGCACCGCACAGAGGGGGTCCGTTTTCGGTACTTTTTCGTCAGGGGTAGAGGGGTAGATTTATGAGTAATAAATTTGCGGGGCCCCAGGCGGAGACCGGGACTAGACCAGACACAGCAGCGGAGGAGGAGTTAGCTCTGAGCTTTCTATTTCAGGACGACATGATTCGGGGTTGAGAGCAGCAGCAAGGCAAGTTGTGCGGTAGACGCCACGGGACTAAAGGTATGCTCATCCCTGGTTGATCAACAGCAATGAACCGCTGCCTACAATGTACTGCACTTGGATCGAGTGCACGCGAACAGAAGGCTGAGTTCTGTTTTGGAGACGGTTTGACAACGGCGGACAATTGTGTGAGTGAGCGGCGCGGCAAGCAGCAGGGGCTAAGGGGGGCGGCGGCGGCAGCGGCGGCGGCCACGTGCTGATCGTACCAGCAAGCACCGTGCTAACGATAGCGCTGCTGGCTACACGCACACCCACCCGCGGGCGAGCGAGAGAGGGGCACGGCGAAGGCGCTTTCGCCGGCACTGCAGCCGGACAAGTCGAGCGCCTACACGCAAGTGAGTGAGGGGCAACAACAAGATTGGGAACCGAGCACCGCAGCACGTGTGGGGTACGACTGCTGGTGCGTGTAAGAAGTGCCGTTGGTTCCGTGGCGCTAGTTTTAGGTGCAGCCCGTGGTCTGGCATTTTACTACGTAGGCTATCGGCGGCAACACACTACAGAGCAATGCTGTTGCGCACTCTAACGGCTCTCTGGCAGGTATTGGATGCGCAAAAAGCTGTGCGAGATTTTTTTCGTTGATCTTATCTTTGGTAGCACATGAACTTGGTAGCTCCTGTATTGACATGTTACACAACCGACGGTCAACGATGGCTGCCACCATTTCGGCCAGAACTGCTGTTCGCCGCCACATCGGGAAAGATTTCCGCTCAAGGGTTGCATCCAACGTTATTGCGGGCTCCACACCCGTTTTTCTCGCTTATTAAATCCTGGTCTCCGTTGGAAGCGACGCGCTGCAAAGCTCGTGAGTAAACCTGATCGACTTCATAAGTCGCGAGGGAAGGGATTGCTGTACCCTTCTCGCGAAAAAAATATCTCAGGCAAGAACCACAGGAGGGGGGTCGTCTAGCTGGTAGAAGTGAAGGATAGGGGCCAGAGGGGCAGACGACAGAGTCCAATGATGGGAGAAAAAGAAACAAGAACAACCCGTAATTAGGGAAAAAACATTGTACAAAGACAGAAAGACTACGAACCACAGTCGAAGAGGGTGTGTTGGAGTAATTGCAGTAAGTGGAGGGTGTACCTTGACATATGAACCGATCTTCCATCCTTTTTTCTTGTTCATTGGTTCCGTTCCTGGTTGTGGAAAGCGCCACATAAAACACCCGCTCCTAAGAACTAGACAGACAGACAAGAAATGATACTGTAGTCTATATAGCCTCCAAAAAATCGAAGTCTAAGAAGGTGAGCCCTAGTGAGCACAATCGGTGAGCTCGGTGAAGAATCCCTACACCAAATCCTATGTAGCGACCATTCGTAGCATGACCCTAGGAATACGGTAACAACCCCAGCCTCGACCAAAACTAGAGGTGCTCAAGCGCGGGCGCTCCCAATACGTTCGTGTGTCCACTTTGAGGGAAGAGGGGGCTGTGCTCTCCTCGCGCAAATAAAAAGGCAAGCACTGCAGGGAGGGGGCGGTAGTACATTACGAGGAACCTTACCTTTCTGTGTAGTCACGGAGTGGGGCTCTTGCCGTAGGTGACATGACTTAAGATACCACACCCACCCCTTGGACCGATTTTTATACGATACCTCTTTTACCGTAGGTTGTATACGCAAGATACCACACACCCCGGGCAGATTTTCAAGGCTTTATCACTCCACGACGAAGAGGATGCCGAAATCAAATTATACGTGTTCGAAAAGCTCTCGATAGGACGGTTTCAACACCGTCAGATTCGGCACCGCCGCTGTTTTCTGCTGTGGACTAATCGAGCTTTAAAGATCGGTCCAAGGGAGTGTGATATCTTACGTCATGGGACCTACCGTTCCCGGCAGAAAGGCTGTGAGCTGTGAGCGTTAATTCAAAGTGACGCAAAGCAAAAAAAAGTGGCGTCCTGCAGTACCTTTGAAGGGGGTCTGAACAGCATGCAGGTGGCTTGTAAATCTCTCCAAGATTGTCGCTGGATGTGAACGCATCAGAAAACATGCAGAAAGTTTAAGGGCGTTCCGTTGTACTCAAGGTTGGCTGGCGTGCCACCGTTGTGAGCACCGTGCTGGACCACTGCTACTTGTGTGTGTAGAAATGTGTTGTGAGTCGGTACGCACTGCTGTGTCTCTACAACATTGTGCTTCTGGTGTCTTTGTGGTGATTGCTTGTCGCCTCTGTTGATGCTTAGCCGTCGCCTAGAGCCCCAAATCGCTCGTGCTTGTTCCCTGCGGCCTTGATTCAAGCTGAGGTGGCGGAAGCCCATACAGCACCTCGTACTCCCTACGCGTTTGTTTATTATGTGACGGAAAGAACAACGCAGACAGGGAAAGGCTGGAAAGTTCTCGTACATGCATGCGTGTGCAAGCAGACGTTCCTCGACGTTTGTCGTTATCAAACCCTCTTTCCCCCGTTATGTGCTTTGATCGGAGCCGGGCAGCTTGCTGCCAGAAGCCCGGAGAAGAAAAGAGATTGACTCCAGACCTTGTGTTATTATCGAGTGCGCGGGGCATGCTTGCCCATGCACACAGAAGGGGGATGGCCCCTCTACAAACACATTCCAACAATGATACACGAAACCCCCTAGATCTCCGTAGATCCGTGTCGAGTGCTGAGTATCCAAACATTTTTTATACACAAACCCCCTATCTCCGTGGATGCGTATCGAGTGCTAAGTACATAAACTTTCTTCAAGGCAAAGCAACTTTTTTTTTCTTTCGTGGTCGCAAGGTAAAACGATGAAGGTCTGTGTAGAAGAGCAAATTAATTCTCCAACACTCGCGAAAAAATACTTCCAACAGCAGTACCTACGCGTATGCCACCCACGAGGAAACAAAGACCAAACGGAAATCAACGCAAAGTCCCGCCGGCATCTAACCCATCCAAAGCGCGCGACGAGCAAGTTCAGAAGATGACAAAAACAGAAATGATGAATGAACCACGAGCAAAGCAACACGCTCCTCGTCCACTGCCGAAGGAAACTTCTCGGAGAACACGCAAGTATTGCCAGACGGAGCGGGCGGTCGTGCCGCGGTGCTGTGCCGAAGAAAAAAGTGGTGAAGACTGCATGTACCACCGGGAGGAATTTGCAATACATCCCGAATGATCTTTGCACGGTTCCCCAACTGCGAATTGGGTGAAGACTACCATCGGGGGGCACTTGCAAAATGTCCCGCCCATTCTTTGCACGGTTCCCCAGCTGCAGAATTGGGGTGAGGACTGTACCAGCGGCGGGATTTTGCAATGTATCCCACACGATCTTTGCACGGTTCCCCAACTGCGAATTGGGGTAAAGACTACCAGTGGGAGGAATTAGCAATACACCCCCCCGATCTTTGCGCTGTTTCCTAACCGCGAATCGGGGTTTCTGTCCCGGCCAAAAAACTGCTCTTTATTCTTGTGACAGGTTTTGATCCCGGCACGGGGGACTCTCGTCAAGAAATTTAAATTCAATCGGGGAAGCGGCTGTGGCCCGCGGCAATCAATAAACAGACAACGCGCAGAATTTCGGTGATACAGCAGAATGATCGTTCCTTAGAGAGAATAATCCGTTCGACGGCGTTACATAAATCATAAACAGAACATAGACTTGCTAAGTAGCACAAGAAAAATTCGAAAACGCGCAATGCTGGCTTTGAGCGAAGGAACGCGCACACACCCCCCAACCACTTCCGCCCACCCTCCAACCTCCTGACTCGCCTCTTCGTGCGAGGTTCAGAAAAAAAAACAGCCGGACAGCGGAACAGGACCAACCCGCGCTCAAGAAATCAGGAGATAAAAATTGAGCCCCCCAAAAATCACGAATAAATAACTTGAGCAACATCTGTTAGTTCGGTTAAGAACCCCCACATTGTAACCAATGTAGCGTCGATTCGTAGCATGATTTTAGGAATACAGTAAGAATTCCAGCCTTGACCGAAATTATAAAAAGGTTCGAACGTTCGTTCTTTATCTGTAGTTCACCTTCGACTAAAGAACACGCCACCATTCACGAGAAATGGAGGTTTCGACTCTAACGAATGGTAAGAGCTCGAACCTTACCAGCACTAAAATCTATTTCCACCCCGTTGGTTGTCCCCACCAATCGAGCACCGGTGAAGGATTCGCAAAGTAAGAGCTTCTTTAAGCAGTTGAGGTTTCTGCATCCACTGCCCCCCCCTCCCGTCGGCTAGCTAGGAAGGAACGATTGGACATCGGCGGTCGTGTGGCAACAATGCTCAATCCTCTTGGCGACCCGTAGACAATGGTCCAACAGCTAGGGCATCATGTAAAACCAGGGAATGAATACGCCCCCCTTCTTCCCCCCTCCCACGATGTGTTTTTTTCATATTTCCTGGATTTTTTTCCATCTGCCTGCTGCAGGATTTGCAAAAGACAAGCTTCTCGTCAACATCTGCCCGGCAACAAATCCGCACGGCATCTATCGGCCACCTGACTAATTCCTGTGAAACCACGCCACACTCCTCTGAAAAACCGCAGCAGGACCCTCAAAAGTCCCCCCTGCCTCCCCGTTTCCGTGAAGTGCAGAGCCCCGCCCGGACGACACGATAATAGCTGATAACGAGACGACGAGCACCCTCGGTGGGTTTAAGAAACAAAAACAAAATCGACGAGCCAGCGAGACCCTGAAAAAACGTTCAACAGTCCTGCGGTATTCACGGGGGGAAGCATTATTGAACAATGGGGTTAGGACTATAGTTTATCCGCTCTGGAGAGCGTGGATGTGTTCCTAGCGGTTCCTGGAACATCTCCGCCGACCCCTTCCCCCCC